CTAAAGAGGGAGATAAAATGCTTCAATATATTTTGCACTTAAGGGAGTAAGCTAGGAGAGGATTCAAAGTATTTTCAAATTGTGACTGTTTAGCTGAACTCTGACATGAAACTCATTTATCAGAGGTTAGCAGCACCAGCCTGGGCATGAACTCTACACAGCCTGATTCTGAATCACCAAGGGGAGCGCTTTAATCACACGGATGTTCCGTTACAGTGAAATTCAGGAATTCACTCCCAGAATTTCTGATTCAGGAAGTTTGAGGCTGAGCCTGGTAATCTATCCTCTTAAAGTTCCCCAGATGATCTTTGGGAATTATTTCAACCCAGACTCCTTTAGTGCTTAGGAGGTAAGAACACATAGACATTCGGTTCTACCAGAAATAACTTATTCCATCTCCTGTGTTCAGATTGGATGGAAACGGTGCCTAAAGGGCTGATGCTGTGGTCTGACGGTACTAGGACTGCTTCCAAGGTCAGGAGACTGTGTAGGGCGGGAGAGCAGCTATGCCTCTATAGTGCATTTAGATCCCATCCAGGGCAGAGAATAGGGTGAACTTGTGCAAAGTTGACTCCATAACCTTTGGGACCTCACCTCCTGAAATGAGAGATGCTGCTCTCGTGAATATTTGTTATTGAATTGGAGAATCAGCCTCTTGTTTTGGTATTCACTTGATGTTATTTTATCTTTAGTTGACGAGGTGTAATTGTGTGTATTTCTGAGGTACAAAGTGTCATTTCAACACCTGTCCATGCTGTAGAATGTGCAAATCGTCCAATGAGCATGTCTGCCACCTCCAGTACTATTTCTTTGTGTTGAGAAGATTTGAAATCCTCTCTTTGGGCTGTTTTGAAATGCACAGTGCATTACTCAGAAATGTAGTCACCACAATAGATCACCAGAAATCCGGGTCTTCTGATCTCACTGGAACTTTGGCACCCTTGACCCGTGTCTCTTCTTCCCAGCTCCTGCCTACCGCCAGTCCCTGGAAACCACCACTGTACCCTCTACTTACACTTTTAGATTTCACATGTGGGATCCTGTGGCATTTCTCTCTCTGTGCCTGGCTTATTTCACTTAGCATAATATCCTCTCCATTTGTCCCTGTCATAGCAAATGCCAGGACTTCCCGTTAAAGTCAGGAGCTTGCAAAGAGGTGAGATAAAGGGCTTAGAAGTCTTTATATCAGTTTTAAGATTTTGACATAGACAGGAGTTGTATGTAATGTGTTATTTGATTGACTTTTAAAACTGGAAATGAGCTCCAAGGGGTTAACACTTGAGTGATAGCCACTCCTTCTGTTGCGTTGTTCCAATGCAGACACACACAGTGACTCTAGGGAGAAGGCTGCTTGTTAGTAAACATGGTGGAGTGAGCCTGTGCTCTGCCAGAGTCTCCGTGTTTATTCTTCAGTAGATGAATCATTTAGGAGGAAAACGCCTGCCTGTTAGTAAAACCAGCCTCGACGTGACTAATGGCAATTCTGGCCCCAACCTACTGGGACAGCAGGGGCTCTGGAGTCTGGCCTGCCCCACTCACAGCTCTCTCTCAGCTTAGCAGGTTTAAAAAGTGGTTCCACCGAGGGCTCCAGGGATGTGGTATGAAAACGTTGGGAGGCCCGAAGAACAGTGGTGTGTTTATGCAAGCCACAGGGGCCCCAGGCCTGCTGCCCAGAGGTCAGCGAGCTGCGTTTGCATAACCTCACAGAGGCTCCTTGACCAGAGATTTCTGTTTGATTTAATCTCCATCCATAGCAAGTCTATAATTGAATAAGAAGTCATTTATTATGAAAGTTTCGAGTGTGTTTCTGACTATGACCCAGGCAGTCCTCACTGCATTCTTGCTTTGTTCAAGTGCAGGGATGAAAGAGTAGACCAAACTTGTCTGCTAGAGGGAGATGGTTGGAGTGTGGCTCTACCTGTGGTTTGTGGAGAGAAGCCCTAGATGCCCAGTCTGTGTCTGCACAGTGGTGTGGGTGTGGCCAGTGACTCGGTTCCTGCAGACAGCACAGGCGAAACCAGGGAGCAGGCATGACAGCCAGGCCATGAGAGCTGGGGACAGGATCTGTTGGGGTGGAAACAGCTTGTCCCAGGCCAGGACAACCTGTGGATTCCAGTTCCCCAGGCTATCCCCTGCCCGTGATGCTTGCAGACAAGGGCACATGGATACTGTTGGGAAGGCAGAGGGGTGGCACCGTGATCAGCACCCAGGAGAGAAGCCATGTCCCTATTCTGTCCAAAGAACCTTCTCAGACCCCTGACATTAAACACTGCCCACATGCCAGTGAGTCCCAAACCACCCACTCCAGCTCTTGCCTGTCTCTACCCGCTGTGTGTCTGCTGCTCTGTCCACCTGCTTGGCCCTTCCAACAAGTACGCCTGAAAGCTGGTTCAGAATCAAAATTCCTACGACAACGATGTCTACTGTAAGCCCCCTTCCTGTGCCTCTCCTAGCTGTCCCCATCTTATCAATGAAGACAACAGTGTAGCAACTACCTCTTGATTCTCCTCTATCCCCTCTCCTGCCACATCAAATGTGCCAGCTATCTGTGCTGGCCGGACATCCAACACACACCCCACCCCTGACCAGCTCCTCTCTCCCTGGACACAGCCCTAACCTCAGAGTTGCTGCTCAGCTCTGCTTGTCCTCAGGCAGCCATTGAAACAGCTTGTGAAACGCATTGCCTCATGCCCTGTAGCAGATGGAGTGATTTCAGTTCAAGGTCTGATAATTGCAGGTTCAAGAGGAATTAAGGACGGAGAATGCAACGGTGAGTCTGGCCGACTCATTAGGGAGTTTTGCTCCAAGAGGCAAATGTGGGTGGAGGGCTGTGTTGGTCTACGGTGAGATAGCCAGGGTTGTTTGTTGGGGGAGAGGGGTGGGGGAGGAAGGTGCTAGATTGCTTGCAGGGGAGAGGGGAGAATGGGCTTTTGCTCTCCTGAGAAGATGGGCTCTGGTCACCATTGCTAGTGCACCTGCAGCTTGCCCAGTTAAAGGAAGGTGGAGTGTAATCGAGGCAGGCAGGCTGTTAGAGGTTGTCTGGGCTTCTGGCTAGAGTTTGGTGCTCTCTTCTTGTGAGACAGGCAGGAGAGTTGTCTGCTGCTGAGGAGGAGGAGGGTGAGGAAGAGGTAACAGTCCTCTAGAAGAGTGTAAGCGGGACACTTGTCTTGCTGAGCACACCGTACAGCCTCCAACCAGCTCTTCCATCTACCAAAGATGCTCTTTCCTGGGACTTGCACTTGGCACTGACCTTCTGATCTTGGCTTAAATGTCTCCTCCTCAGAGAGGCTTCCCCGGCCTTAAACCTGAAATAGCCCTGCAGCCAGACATAGCCTCTCACCCTGTTGGGCTTCTTGGAATAGCATTAGTTGCTGGGTGATACCCAGGTTGGGGCTTTTCCCCTGCTTCCCTGTTTATTGCTGTGTCTCTTACCAGAAATACATGGACATGTTTGGCCCTGTATAGAGAGGAAAATGTAATGGATAAGTATGAGATGTTCCTTCTGCTTCAGCAAAAACATCTAGAAATATCCTGCTAGGGAATGGTAGAGCCCAATTTACGTATATGAACTTGAGTTGGCCCAGGACTGAATTCCTGTGTGTGCATGTGTGTGTGTGTGGATATGTGGGGGTGGGGGTGTGAATGTGTGTGTGTGTGAGTATATGTGGAAGTGAGCATGTAAGTGTGAGTGTGTGTGTGTTTGGGTATGTCAGTGTGTATGCATTGTGAGTGTGGAGGTAGGAGTGTGAATTTATGTGTGTATGAGTGTGGGTGTATATGAGAAGTGTGTGAGTGTGTGTGTATTTGTATGTGTATGTGTGAGTGTGTGTTTAGTAGGTACAGTAGGTAGAGGGCTGTGGAGGTGTCTCCCGGAGCCTTGATTCATCATAGCCAACCCAAGTCACCCATGGTCTGTCCTCTCCTTGGCCAGTAGAAGTGATCTGAAGGTCACTCAGCCCCCTGGGCCTGCCTTGCTCCTGTGAACTGAACTACAGTGTGAACCAGACATGACCAGTGAACACTGTGGGAATATCTAAAATGAATGTCTCAAGAAAGAACCTTTAAAATGTCGACCTGGACAGGCCAGGTTTCCTTCTTTACTCCTTGACCAGCGGTAGCCCTGGACCTGCCGAGGCTCCCGGCTCTGCAGCGTGGGAGGCTGGGGATGGGACATCTAGGGGCCCTCAGATGTCGAGCATCTCAGCCAGACTCCCGTCGAATGCGGTGATGCCTTCTATTCATGATTCCTTTTTGTAGAAATCCAAACTCTAACCCTTCCAGGCAAAGATTCTAAATGGGCACAAACATGCCCTGTTCATGCTTTAAAAATGAACCATAAAAACACCTGAGCCCACCCAGTTGAAAATGTTGCATGGGAATAGATCTCTCCTCCCCAAGTCTCCCATGACAGTACGGAGGTCTGAATCGGCCAGCAGCCAGCCCGTGTTTCAATGTCTAAAAGGAAGTGGCTGCTGTATCTCTATACAGGTAGCCAAGACCAACCGCTCATCCTCCCGAGTCAGGAAACAGTGAAATAGCGAACAAAGGTAAACTTCCAAAGGAAGAAGTATTTCCCAAACTCCGATTGCCCCCACCCCTGCCACCCCCGGTTACAACCACAGAGAGCTTCATCATACCCTCTGCGGATTCAGTGGCAAACTGAATTTGAGGATCCAAATCCAGAGAAACCAAAGCTGCAATTGCTAGTAGATGTTTCAGAATTTCTTCTACTGCCTAAAAATCAAGAGCACCTGCGAGACATGTCCTTAGGGACCCGCGGTGAGGGATGGTCTCTGTTTGCCTCTTCAGGAAAGATCCAGGGGACTCGGGTTCAGGCAGGGACTCTCAGAGACTCAAAGGAACAGGCAGAGAGGCGGTCAGCATTTTTTTGGCTGATTCATGAAGTCTCCCTCCCTGGCTGACCCATCAATTTAGGAAGCCTTGAGTCCACTGGATGGGTAGGCAGCCATCGGACTGGCATGTTTTCTGGTTTTCTTTAGGCTGGAGGAGAGAAAGTGGATCCAGAAGAGGCGCTGATTTACGACGAGGAATTTGATGGAGGTGATGGTGCCGAGGGGGAGCTGGAAGAAAGCACCAAACTAAAACTGTTCCGCAGGTTCGCCTCCGCGGCATCCAAGCTCAAGGAGTTCATTGGCAACATGATTACCACCGCGGGAAAGGTGGTTGTGACCATTCTACTGGGCTCCTCAGGTGAGCGCGCCTAGCACGGGCCTGTGCAGATGAATGGGAGGAAGCAAACAAGGGATGTGTCTATCCCACGACCCCAGATCACAACTAGCCACACACGCAAAGCACACGAAGAAATGATTTTTCCTGTTCCGTCCAAATTTTGATGTTTTTGGATGGTTTCTATAAACCTCTGTAAAATAATCATTTTTCTATATTTCCTAAGTGACCTCACTGGATAAGTTTGGGTTAGAATAGCAACTCCTCCTCTTCCTTAGTGCCCTTGCCTGGTGATCTGCTCCAGGCAGCTGCCTGTGTGCTCCCACCACAAGCCACGCCTGAGAGTTCTGAGAGCCTGTTTACATTGGGTCATTCGTAATCTTAATTTAACTCTCCAGGATATACTATTTTTCATCTGAAACAAGATTGTGATCTTCCAGCACAGACACTCACTTCCTTGAAATTTTGGCCATGGGCTGCTTATTCCATCATAATCTTATCTTGATCTTTTCCCTCCCTCCAGTCGGCTGCTCACCAGTGTTCTGGAGCTACTGATCTCATGAGTGTAGACTCATTCCAGCTGCTTAGTTAAAATTGGAAAGATGAAACGGTTTAATTTTCCTAATAGGAAAAAGAGAGAGAAGGAACATAGAATTTCTCAAGAAATAAAATTTAATTTATATATATTCTTTTAAAGATGAATTTGTTCGCTGTGGCTCACTAGGCTAATCCTCCACCTGCGGTGCCAGCACCCCAGGTTCTAGTCCCGGTTGGGGTGCCAGATTCTGTCCCGGTTGCTCCTCTTCCAGTCCAGCTCTCTGCTGTGGCCCAGGAGTACAGTGGAGGATGGCCCAAGTGCTTGGGCCCTGCACCCCATGGGAGACCAGGAGGAAGCACCTGGCTCCTGGCTTCGGATCGGCGCAGTGGGCCGGCCGCAATACGCTGGCCATAGCGGCCACTTGGGGGGTGAACCAACGGAAAAGGAAGACCTTTCTCTCTCTCTCTCTCTTTCTCTCACTGTCCACTCTGCCTGTCAAAAAAAAAAAATGACTTTGTTTGAAAGATTACCGAGAAAGGAGGAGAGACAGAGACATAAAGAGATCTTTCATCAACTGCCTCACTTTCCCGATGGCCACAACAGCCAGGGCTAGGCCAGACTGAATCCAGGAGCCAGGAGTTTATCCAAGTCTCCCACATGGATGGCAGAGGCCCAAGCACTTCGGCCATTTTCCAATGCTTTCCCAGGCCCTTGGCGGGGAGCTGGATCAGAAGTGGAGCAGCCAAATCTCAAAGCAGCACCCACACAGAATGCTGGTGTTGCAGGCAGTGGCTTTACCCACTATGCCATAACCCCAGCCAAACTCATTATTTTAATAGGCCATTTCAAAATACTCAGCAAAAGTACTTTAAGAGACACATAGGACTGTGCAGTTAGCTTGGTGATCAAGATGCCCACATCCCACACCAGAGTACTTGAATTTGAGTCCCTCTTCCTGCTCCTGATTCCAGCTTCCTGCCAGTGCAGACCCTGGGAGGCAGTGGTGATGGTTCAAGTGATTGGGCCCCTGACACCCACCTGTGAGATTTGAATTGAGTGTCTGGCTCCCAACTTCAGCCTAGCCCAGCTTCAGCTAGTGGAGGTATTTGGGGGGTGAGTTATAGGTGGATGCTTTCTCTCTCTCTTATTCGCTCTACCTTTCAAATAAATAAATAAACAAACAAGCAAACAAACATATACAATGGGACTAATTCATTTAACACCCCTCCCCCTTTTGGTGATAAAAAAAATCCAAATTTTGTCAGATAAGAGGAGAAACTTTGCCATAGTAAGTAATGTTATAATGACTTGTAGTTAACTAAGGAAAGAAAATCTTTACAAGAAAATAATTTCAGGAGAAGTTGGAGTGGACAAAAGTAGATTCCTGAAAAATTTGAGGGGAAAAGCAGAAATAAGGAAACATGCAAGTAAATATGGAAATTTTACTGGTCTGAAAAGTGGATTTTATTCAGTTCAAACCCACAGGCAGAATACAAAGTATTCCCTTGTAGCTACAAATTTATCACTTCACATATGACTTTCATAACAATAAATAGAATATTAATTCTGATCATAAAAATGAATTAGGATTATGGCTTTTAAAACCTGACCCATCCATGAAGACATACAAAGGAAATTCACATGCTTCCCAACTATGACATGTACTGAGCAGTGAGTTTCCAGCCCTACCCATTTGTCATGATTGCATTTCTCCCCCCGTAGGTATGATGCTGCCATCTTTGACGTCGTCTGTATATTTTTTTGTGTTTCTGGGTCTGTGCACCTGGTGGTCCTGGTGCCGGACATTCGACCCATTGTTGTTCAGCTGCCTCTGTGTTCTGCTGGCCATTTTCACGGCTGGACACCTGATTGGACTCTATTTGTACCAGTTCCAGTTCTTCCAAGAAGCAGTACCACCCAATGACTACTACGCAAGGTAAGCAAAATCTCTGAGACATTCCAAAGAGCACTTGCTGCCTCACCCCCACCCCATGACCTTGATTGGACTTTGTGGATTGGCAGGGATTCTTCTTGATGGCATCTGGTGTGTAGAGCAAAGACATGGCGGCTGGTGGGGAGGCAGGGGAAACAGTCTAGCGCTTCAGTTGGATTGGATCGCAGTCTGGAAAGCAGAAGAGGCTCTCCCAGGTGGAGGTACCTCTGGGATGCAGACAAGGACAGGGCTCTGCTGTTTGTGGCAACTGGAACAGACAGGGTCTCCACTGAGGAAAGAGAGGCAGCGAGAACCTGGTGCACAGAAGAACAGTAAGGACAACCATCCCGCCTCCAAGAGCTCGCAGGCCAAACAGATGAAGTAGAATTAAACATAAAAATAATAATGAAAGAGACATATCTAATAATTCACCTCAATAGAAGGTGACATCACACCAATCCCTAATTGTGAAAATGGGAATTAATGGTAAAGAATCCAGCATTTACTAAGATGTTTTAGAAGGAATTTATGGCCATTCTTAGTTAATAAGGGAAAATACCTTCTTCCAGGATATAACAGCTAATGAAAGGGAAAGGATTAAAACAAGTAGAAAATTATTCCTTATCAGTTCCTTGCTGACATGTTTGATTCTGGCCACAGCCAGAAGTCACTACTTCAAAAAGTTGTTGGGGCAAGAAATGTTTGTCCAGTGACAGTCTAACCTCACTGATCGTTTTCTAATTGCAAGGGAAAATTATATGTTTATAATAAAAATCAGTGCCATAGCAAATTGTTCAAAGTTAACGTGAACAAAAATTGAATTACCAGACATTTCACTCCTTTCACTGTGATGCAATGTGTGATGTAGATAGCCTTTAGACCAAACCCAGTGTAAAGGAATCATAAAACATAGGCAACAATCTCAGTGGCTCCATAAGAAAGATAACACCCAGAATGTGGATTCTAGAAGGCAAATGTCTGCTCTTCAAAGTATTGAAGACACCCAGCAAACTCATGTGAAACACATCTCTAGAAAGATCCTGGCTCAACAGTAATCCCTGGACGGCATCTGTGGTTAAATGGGGGAAATTTCAGTATTCATTGGATATTAACTCATAGTATGGTTTTGTGGATATCTGGAGAAATGGTCCACCTGAGGAATATTTTAGGGATAGAGTGTAATACTGAATGCAACTTTCAAAAGGCTTAGCAACAAATGACAGAGAGAGAATTATTTAAACTGGTAATCAGTACGGAGTTACCGATTATTCTATTTGAACTTTTCTTTGTCCTTGGAAAAGTTCATAATTAAAAGTTACAGAAAAAGAAAATGAATAGAAATGGCAAGAGAGGATGTGAATGTGAAGTGAAAATTGTGGCCCGAATTCTCTCGGCAGAGATCCTGGAAACTGTGTGGTACTTTTGATCTTCCCGCTGAGAAATGAGGAGCCTGTGCTTTATAGGAACAAGAGTAACCATATCACACCAGCAGTACAGGTCTGCATCCTTCTTTGAAGGCATCCAATGTGGCTTCTGTGTGATGGAAAATCCAAACATGGATGAGTATACAGGCCCATTTACATTGCTTTGATTGGGTCATGTATAAAATCCGGATATAAAAAATTCATCAATCAAATCCTAAGCCCAACTAAATTCAGTAAAAATAAAACTTGGTGCCTGACACAGACACACACACACACACACACAAATGCACACACACACACAAATGCACACACATAGCCTTCCTAATTCCAAGTCACTTTAGCTGAACCGATTGCATTAACCTGGACATTAAAGAAGTGTAATTCACTCTCTTGAGAGAATAATGTTGTAGAGGCATACTAAACATAAAGCATCTTTTTAATGGTACATATTCACATTATATTAAATTTTAGGCAGGACAGAATAAATGCTAAATTTGAGTATAGACATTAGTTCTAAAATGCATCTTTAAATTATTTTTGGATGTTTAATTTTCAGCTTATTGAACACATTAAAAAACAAATGATTTGGACTGTTGTAAGGGCTGACTTCTAGGGGATGACTTAATTGGAAATGTAAATATCCTCTGCTGGGCAGTAGTTTTTTAGTTTGGGTTTTTTGGGTAGTTTCCATGTTAGTTTAAGGCTCTTTTCTGCCATCTAGGGGCAGATAAGAGAAACTACAAAGAATGTTCCCGACTGCCTTGAAAACACTTGTCTGGATCAGGGAAATTTTCTGTAAAGGATCAGCTGGTAAATACTTTAGGTTTTGCAGGCCATGGGATCTCCGTAACTATTCTTTCAGAAGCTGCCACAATGCAAAAGCACCCGAGACAGGATGTGGAAGAATGAACGTTACTGTGTTCCTGTGAAATGTTGTGTATGGGTACCAAAATTTGAGCTTCATATTCTTCTCACATTTTATCAAGTATTGTTTCTATATTGATTTTCCCTATTATTTAAAGTGTTTAAGGTAGCTCGTAAACTGTTCTACAAGAGGTGTTGAATGGGACCTGGCCCCTGGGCCATAACTGGCCCTTCTGTGACATAGGTAACAGTGGTCTGATAGCGTAATAACTTTCTGTATTAGGTTTTCATTTGAATGGTTACATACTTAGAAATGCAATTTCAATTTATTATAGACATTTTAGACAATCCCTTTATAATTTTTAAGGTGTGTTACTATCATCTCGTAGAGTAAGTCATTAGAAGTTGGGTTGCTTATCAGTGTACAGAAAATTTGAGTTAAACAATGCAATAGATAAACTCCCTTGCTGTAGTCCCCTCCTCCATTAATTTGGTGATGGTGGTGCATTGCATTTTATTCTTTTAAATCATGGAAATTAATAACTTTAAAACAGTTGCTTTTTCCTCGGGCATAATTTCAATGCATTGTTACTGACCCCAAAGTCTGAGCTGGAAGAAAGCAAACTGCAGTTAAGCAGAAAAAAATTATCATGTGTGGGCATTTTTCGCTAATATTATGACCATGGAGTCATTATCCTTTATCGAAAGCTGCCCTTAATACATTCCAAGCAGATTTGTCTTCTCATAAGCTTTCACATGGGATAACTGGTGAGAATTATCCTTATTTTTACAAACACTGAAATTTTTTGTCATTAGTATAACCGATGCTTGTAGGTGGTTATTTGGAAAAATGAAATAAAGAATAAGGAAAAACATTATAAAAATGTAATTCATCAATTCTCAGCCTTTTGGCTAAGATCAAGTGTATAATGTAATCCAAACTCCCAGAAATAAGTATAAATTTCTTTTTAGTCTGTATCCTTCCAGTGTGAGAGGCTATCAAGAAGTCTGTGGATGGGCCGGCATCGTGGCTCACTTGGCTAATCCTCCGCCTGTGGAGCTGGCATCCCATATGGGCGCCAGGTTCTAGTCCTGGCTGCTCCTCTTCCAGTCCAGCTCTCTGCTGTGGCCCGGGAGGGCAGTGGAGGATGGCCCAGGTGCTTGGGCTCCTGCGCCCGCATAGGAGACCAGGAGGAAGCACCTGGCTCCTGGTTTCAGATCGGCGCAGCACCAGCCATAGTGGCCATTTCGGGGGTGAACTAACGGAAGGAAGACCTTTCTCTCTGTCTCTTTCTCTCTCTCTCTGTCAAATAAATAAATAAATAAAAGAAGTCTGTGGAAAACAGAATTAAGAGATAAAATTTTTTGGTGCAAAGCTTTTTGAAATTCATGCATATAAGAGATTTCAGGCCGGCGCCGTGGCTCAATAGGCTAATCATCCACCTGCAGTGCTGGCACACCGGGTTCTAGTCCCAGTCAGGGTGCCGGATTCTGTCCCGGTTGCTCCTCTTCCAGGCCAGCTCTCTGCTGTGACCTGGGAAGGCAGTGGAGGATGGCCCAAGTGCTTGGGCCCTGCACCCACATGGGAGACCAGGAGGAAGCACCTGGTTCCTGGCTTCGAATCAGCATGGTGCGCGTGCTGCAGTGCACCGGCCACAGTGGCCATTGGAGGGTGAACCAACGGAAAAGGAATAACACCTTTCTCTCTGTCTCTCTTTCTCTCTCACTGTCCACTCTGCCTGTCAAAAAAAAAAAAAAGAGAGAGAGAGAGAGAGATTTCAAAAAGTTCATGAAACTGTATATTCTGAAAACACCTGCTTAGATTTCAAGTTTATTTTGCAGCTTAATTAAGTTATATTTTTTGGAGATTTCTTTATTTTACTTGAAAGTCAGGGTACCCAGAGAGAGAAGGAGAGGCAGAGAGAGAGAGAGAGAGAGAGAGAGAGAGAGAGAGATCTTCCATCCGTTGGTTCACTCCCCAATTGGCCACAACAGCGGGAGCTGTGCCGATCCGAAGCCAGGAGACAGGAGCTTCTTCCAGGTCTCCCTCGCAGGTGCAGGAGCCTAAGGACTTTGGCCATCTTCTACTGCTTTCCCAGGCCGTGGCAGAGAGCTGGATAGGAAGTGGATTAGCCGGGACTCAAACCAAAGCCCATATGGAATGCTGGCACTGCAGGCGGCGGCTTTACCCACTACACCACAGCACCATCCCCTTAAATTATCTTTTAATTCCCCTTTACCATGACTTTTCTGATGACCTGTCATATGGACTTTTGAAAAACAAATTTTGAATCATATTTCACGTGCTGTTTAATATAATTTGCCTTTCTCACTAAAGGAATGCATTTTCCTGCATTATAAAAGATTCTTGTAAATGTGATTTTCCCAGGCTGAAAGATGTTTGGTTGCAGCTGTATTACAACTGAGTCACTCCCTGGGTGCCGACCATGTGACTGGTCCTCATTTGTGTTCTCATGGATAATTCTGTGATGGGCACCCACAGTCCTTGTGAACCCAAACAAACAAAACTCACGGTGAGCAAGATGCAACTCAGCGACTTCTGAGTGATCAGAGAGCCTTCAAAGGCTATGTTGTTCTCACTTCTGCTTGAGGGCCCAGACCTTTCTAAGGCACAGGGCCAACAGTGTGTGAATTTTTGTGATGTCCTCACCATGCAGATGTAGATCGAATTCCGTGTCTACTTGTGCACAGATC